CCACGAAGAAATTCACATACAATACCTTCAGGCGAGTTCTCTTGGATATTCGCATACAGAACCTCGTTCCAAGAACTTTGAGAGATTCGCATCAATTGCCACTGGTGCAAACTCCAAGCATTCGCAGAACCGAATTATTCGAGATATTCGCACTTCAGGAGATTCGCATCAATTACTACTGACGAGGTCTGTTAGTGTGCGCAACTAGGAGTTAATTAAGATATTCCCACACATAGGCTTGCGGTAAGAAATTCGGGAGATTTGCGTCAATTTACTCGCAACTAGGAGTGAACCAAGGAATTCACGAAAAATGCTCCTGTCGAGGCCTCTGAGAGTTCGCATCACGAACTGTTCAGGACATTCTCATGAGTATCATTCTGCGAATTCCTCGAGATATCCTTGTTTATATTCGAGTTACCAAGGATTTTTGTAGTATTCATAGGCTACCAGCAGTCGGCTGTCGGCAAAGTGTAACAAGCGCCAGCTATTTTGAATCCAGCTGAGAAGAATTCACCAATTTGTTCCAGCCAGGGAACTCCGTGAGTTGAAGCTCACGGGCTCTTGCGCTCATGAAACGGAAGCATAGAGCATAGTAGATAGGTATATGATGGTGATTGATCAAATATGCAAGGTCAGGTATCAAAACAGATTATTCATCTCCAGAAACAATTCTGAAATGAAAAGTCATGACTGAAATGTTTCTGCACTTTTCATGAAATCATTCTCCTCAAACTGATTGAATCACGGTTCTTCACCCTGTACTTGTTTGTTACATCATTATCTTCTTGTACACTGACTATGTTAAACAGGTTGATCAATTTTTCTCCGGGAAAGTGAGGGATATTGGTCTTCTAGAAATATTGAAGTCATACCAGTTTGAACCACAGTTTAGAGAATATTCATTCTCTGAACTGTGTTTTCACCTACCCTTATGAGTATATATGGTTGATGAGAGGAAGTTACAGAGCGTTGAGGTTCATCAGGCCGATAGGTACATTTTTACGCGATATCTCAGTTTGTATATGCCAAAATATATTCGTTTCTTTTGAACTTCTCACATCTGATTATAAAAAAGGATCATATACCAGGTGAGTCAATAGTGTGTTCTCCTTCGATATTAGCCAAACCGTCAGATATATGGTGAAAAATCAGAAACAACAGGTATATGGTTTCATGAGAACTATCACCTGAGATTCTGTTTACAAATATAGGGTGTTCGAGTTCCAAGATATCGACAGATGATGTTTTTTTTTAAAATGGGACATCCTGTATATGATCGCATTTTTTGGGTTCTTCCTGGAGAGCCGATTCCATCAATGCATCACACTCGGGGTCTAACGGGAATGATAACAGAGATATAGGGTGTTCAAAAACAAAAAAAATCAATCTAAGATTTTTTTTTAGCCGAAACAATTATTATTGGTCAGAACGGCTCACATGTGCCTATCTAATTTTTCAATTCACTATCTACTAACATTGATTCGGGAATAAATACAGGGTGGTTCAAGATTCAGAATTCTCATCACCCTGTATCTGTAATGATGGTGGGAGTCTTTTTCGAAATTTTAGAAACATGTCGTGTGTTGATATTTTACTTCCGCTTATTTTGAACGTTCGGGATATCTTTAGGAATTCACACCAAGAATTTCTCGTTTGTGATACCCTCGGGATGACTTGAAGAACTCACAATAAGAATTTTTGATTCAGATAACGTTCGGGTCAACTGAACGAACTCACAGTGAGAATATCTCGTTTACGTTACATACCTGATAGCTTATTCAGAAACTCGCAACAAGAATTTCTTGTTCAGGTTACGTTCCAGCTAGCGTAAGGAACTCGCAGTAAGAATTCCTGATTCAGGTAAATTCCGTAATAACTTTGGGAATTCGATGTGGAAATGAAATCGATGACTGGAAAGTGAGGTTTGAAAGATTTATACATGGGACTTCAGGAAGAAATTCGCTTAGTTACAGCACATAGCGATCTTCACTACCTTACGATAGGAACTCACATATGATCCTGATGTTGCTCTCTCTGAAATCTCGCTGAGAGGTTTGTGTTACCTGCGAGTTTTCGAGTCGTAACAACAACCTGTATATCAATATTTTTTCTAAATTCACAAATTTGTATATTTCTCATGATTAAACTGATATTGATAATTTCAGTCAGATAAATTCTTATTTATTATCATTTGTTCATGATAATATTCAAAATGACTCTGGATAGCATCCTCAGGGCAAACCAAACTCGGACATTAGAGGAAATCAGGGAAGACGTTACCAGAATATGGTATTCAGCCAACCCAGATGTGCAGCATAACCCCAGACCGTCGAAGCCATGCCAGAAAGTCCTTCCTGGGTTAGTTAGCCAAGCCAGGCTGATTAACAATAGCTGACTAGCCGTGACAGTTAATCGACAGTAATGAAGCCAGATGCCAGAAGAGCCGAGATGAAACCCAGAGACTACAGTTTGAAGTGCCTAAAGACAGTGAAGTGTGTGGATGAACTCACAGATTCAAGTTGTACTATATGGCCAGTTCTTAGTTAGGTTTCTTGATAGTAATTTTCAGGAATCTTCAGAAATTTTTAGTAATTTTCAGGAATTTCCAGGAATTTTTAGGAATCCCCAGGAGTTTTCATAAAGAATGATGTATGCTGAGAATAGGAGTTTTTTATATTAGATTTGTATCATGATTGGTTAGTACGTAGTGCTAGGAGTAGGTACCCATCTAACCATTTTTTAACGACGGGGGCCGTCATTTTCAGAGAAGGGGCATGTCATTCTAAGAAGGTTCGAAGTCATTGAACGGTTACGTCTTTGTTTATCAATTCCAAAATTCTCGAATCGTGAACGAACTTTTTTTCATAGTAGTTGAACATAAACACAGGCGTGGCATTGACTTAAACGAACCTGGACTATCTATCGACCTGTTCTTGACCAGATTCATTACTAGACTGGTTTTGATCAAAATAATTAACCTCACTTGAATTCCGATATTAGAAAATTAGAAAATCGAAGGAGAAGGAAAGATGAATAGAAATTGAATCTGTTTAATTCGTTTGGAACTGTGTTTCTGATCCTCCAGGTAGAAATGATGAAATAGTTTGAATACATAATTTTCCCGACCTAACCTCAAAATACCAGAGTGTTCTTAAAGATATTTGTTCTGATTCCTGTAATTATCCAGACTAGAAATAGCAACCAGTATTCCAGGCTAAACCCAGGGTTTGTAATCAAAGCCCACACTCCCTTGGCTACTTTTTGATTCCAGGTCGATTGAATACCATTGACCCCTGGTTTATACTGTAGGTACCGAGGTAGGTATGCCTCCTGTACCTTTCTCCACTGTTGATATTTTGTGCCCCTGTACAAAAAATATTTTGTGCAGAGCAGGTAGAGTAAACTACTCCAAAAACAATCTGGCGCTCGAGAATCCTCCTCCTGTCAAATACCAGAGTAGTCTCCCGTCCTGAAAAGAGCGCCAAAGTAAGGGCCACAGAATGAAGACCTTACAACCTTTCCGAAAATATAGACGACTATTCAGAAGACGTGAGGAAGCGGGTTCGACAGTTCGACTACCGGTTCGACTGCGAGTTGGACTGCCAGTTCTAGTTCTAGCTCTGTTTTTTCAACACGACCACGGAAAGTTTATTCTTGATGTTGAATCATCTTCGATAAAATGGCTCGTCGGTCCTCAGCCCGAAAGTCAGTCGCTTAGGAATCTGACGAGGACGCATCGCGAATTTGCCTTGATAATGATGAATACGTTTTCGTCGGTCGTCGGAAAGCTGTGACACTGATGCCCTTCCTCCAGGTCTCAGAAGATAACATGTACAAGTATAAAGTATGTTTTGAATTGTTATTTATATTCTGATTCCGACTATTCATAAATTGCCAAGGTATATTCTCTATTGACAAAAAGAACACAACTCAGGCAACCCCCACCTATACAGTTTGTGACAATAGTTCGATGAGAAGATGACATAAAAGAAACATGTTTTGGTGATATATTATATCTTCAACCATCAGATAACTAACAAGGAAGAAGGTGTCCCACAATTAATTGAACCATCGCCGTTAGGAAGTCACAAGACACAATGATCATACTCACATAAGGATTGAAAAGGGATACTGACTTGAACATGATGAATTAATAATGAAAGGATTTGTTCGAATTGAGATAGATAGCGATTCTACAATTCCCGTAGTATAGTTATCGAGGATGAGAATGATTCTGCAAGGGTGAAGATATTCGTACTGAACTAATCAATGAGAGTGTGTCAATAATCATCTGTCCGATCTCCAGCCTCTCCTTCCGTTCAATCAATTCAAGCATAACCCTTGATTATCCATTATAACATTTTCAATTCGGAGGAAGTTCTTTCCCATTTCCGTGAAGCTTTTCTTATTGAGTCATGTTCAACATATATGTTAGAAATATGAACATTCCGATGTGAATTTTCCCGATATTTATGGTGGAATTGACTTCGAGTATTATTCAGTAGTTTCTACTTCACTCTATTCTGGAAAAATTAAAAAAATATCGAAAACTTCGTAGGTGCCAGATGAAAGCTAAAGTTCTAGTCATGTTCTCGTCATCTATAAAGTGGCATAGTTTTGAGGTAGAATCACGCGATAACGCCATATGACGACGCAGTCATCTATAGTCAACATATAAAGACCCTTACGTCCACACGTTACAGGATACTACAAGTAAACCACTCTGCTGACAGACACCTAACCTGACAACTCGAGAGGAAAAGATCCTATTGAAAGAACTGGATCTCGTAATTATGAGATCAAATATGAAAAAAGTTGCTCACATTTGTCAGCAGAAGCGGCACAGTACTGTCTCGGTCCACCAGGCCTCATCAGTCGCACTTGATCTGCTGTCAAATGGGACAACTACACATTTTGGATATTTCACACATTTTGTTGACGTTGAATGATACAGTCGTCAATATTTTACCTGTTCTTTTCTCAGCATCCCTGAACGTGACCTCTTCCAGAACAACACCGTGGCTTCTTCCCTTTATATTCACAGCGAACACTATGATCCTGAAAGTGATGTCTGGTTCCAGATTGTCCAGAAAAAAGTAGGGTTCTGTGAAAGAGGTCATGTTGAATCTGGGAACTGCGGAGCTGGAAGAGTACAGTTCCAGAATGAAGTGCTGCGGTAGTCCTCCGTCGAATCCAGCTAGGCAGAATACCTCGACGGAACTGCTAGTCTGATTGGAGAGGGAGCAGTTCTTCACTGAGAATGGTTTACCTGCATAGAATAGAGATTCCAATTAATCATTTCCAGTTGTACCAATCATTTTGTGATGAATCAAGTGATTGAATTGCTGTATGCCGCATTATACCTTTTTTACAATGACATGTTTATACTTGAATTAGCCCGATGTGATACGGAGTAATCAATCTACTCATTTGGTTTCATGTGGAATGAGGAAGTTGTATCTAGAATGACTTCCGACTATCATCATGCCAGAATAAATACTCCTTGGGTTCATGTGAATTTCTCAAATCTTATTTATTTTCGGAAATTCATGTTTTACCCTATTGAAAGAGACAAACAGAAACATTCGATAATAAGCAAGCAGGACAACAAATCTCGCCCCAATAAGTATCTCACTTCAATTCATACTAGAATTCTGCTTTCACATCGCTTGTTTTTTCTGTTTCTTTCTTGATTGATCCAGATGTTAAGGCTGTCTTTGAATCATTATTCATTGCCTCTGTATTGAACACACGAGTTTGAGAATTCACGACTACATTTATGGTAAATCCGTTTGAATTTTGAATTGACCAAATTTAGTTCTATCCTGTTGTTTAGCGATGAGTCATTCATTGTGAGCTGAGCTGAATAACATTTGTAACTAGAGCATACGGACACTGAGAAAACTCGGCCAAGTAAATTGTTTTCTTGAAAAAAAGTCGATTGTGACAAGAACATTTTCACCAACGGTAGGAAAATATGGTACTTGCAGTAGGCAAAACTATATTTCTGAAACGAAGTTTCTGCTGTTAGTGATCAGAACACTTGTTGGTATCAACCAAGTCGATATGTACTTAGAGTTCGCTAATTCTAATTGAACACTAAACTAGTGCTAGGTTAACGAAAAATTATTTTTCTGACATAAGATCACTTGCTCTGAGCGAACTCATCAATAAAGACAATCTATCAAATCGATTGTTGCAGGTGACAGCTCACCTGTAGTTATAGATATCTTTTCCGTTCGGACATCTCCGATATTATTCGAGTACCCACGTCCTACGCGATCACTGTCCAGTGTCCACGAGTCCACGGCGTCATTTCGATCTTAGCATTCGTGACGTTAGTATACTTGCGTTCCCGCTAGTAACATTGAAATTCCAAGTCATGCAAGTGCCCTTCCGAACAACTATATATCATAATATTCGTATGAGAATTCTCTGTTTGTGTGCCGTGCTCTGTGGCCGTGCTCTGAGCTGTGGGGTGTTGAGTTCTTGATCTGTTCTCTTGAAGGAGATAATGAAATACAAAACTCTTCTAGAACAGTACATGATTGTTTCTACATATATACAGGATTTTTTTCCACTTCCTATGATACTCGAAGTGGAAGGAAGTGACGTTTAAAAGTATGAAAGTTGATTCATCTTCAATGCTGGAAGGAAAAAGATAGTGAACCAGAGTGCAGTGCAGTGAGTGAGAGTACCGTTTTTCTCGGTGCATGATGCTGATATATGCGCGCGGTATCTAGCATCCAAATTTTTGTCGTCAGCCTTACCGTTTTTGTATTTTCTGGATTCATCATACCTATATAATAAAATGTTTTGAATGCATGTGTTTTTGTCTTATCACCAAGGTTTTATCATTTTTCAGAGAACAATGGAAGTATTTTTTCATACTAGGTAATGACAAGTGAATAAGTCACTATTGACAAGTGAATAAGTCACTGATAACTAGCAGATAAGTCACTAATGACATGTAATTAGGCCACTAATGACTAGTGAACAAGTCACTAATGAAAAGTGAATGAGTCACTAATGACAATTGAATAGGTCACTGATGACGAGTGATATGTTCACTAACCGTGATCACTCTGGAATTTAATGAAACAGGTCAATAGTGGTAGGTGCGTACATTTTCAGGAACACAAATATTCTTGTGGTTATTAACTTGTTTCCTTGTCCCATATAGTATACAAGTTTTTACTTGCCACTATTAAATATTCACTCGGGGTTGTGTGTATCAGAAAGTCTCTTCAGTAATAGAATCTAGGCACCCATATGGATTTGAAAATCAACTTTCAAGATAGTAAAGTTTATCCAGAAACAACTGCAGCTTCTCGTGCCGCACCTGCACTCACTCCAAAGGAAACTTCAAACACGACTACGCCACGCGTTGCGGGCTGTTCTCGTATTATCTGATATAGACATCAGAAAAGTATTCGGAAACGTCGCATCATGATTCTGAAATTTTTGTTCAGCTTAGCAATGGGGGCAGATTCAATCAACACTTCCGGATTGACTTCATTCGAATCTCCATCAGGTTACGAAATGGATATGGGTTTCTGGCTAGTAAGTGGTGATACATGTGAATCAAAGAGTGCGATTCAACTAGCATCACTCTGATCATACTGTGGAAATGACGTCAGTTAGGTATGTAGAGGCAGAATTACACTGTAGGATTGTTCCAGTTGATGGAAATTACCATTTCGTCAACGTTCACCATAAATAACGTCTGAATTAATCATGAATCCAAAATAGACCAACATCAATGATACGAACACAGCATTATACTGATAATATTTACTTTCCGGAGTGTCTATAGTCATTGTGTTTTATTGCATGTTGCTCCTGAATAAATTATGCTCGCATGTTGTCGGATATCATCAAAGTACCTTATCATGAGCATAATAATCTGATCTCTCACGTTTTATTATTTTCATGTTAGGAATGCTAGGAAGGGTTGAATCGACCGTATAAGTATCTTTTAACTTACATTTTTGACAACTCCATCATGACAACCTATATTTTGAACAATTCTGATTATTCTCATTCGATTTACGGCAACTTTCAATTAATAATATAGATGATGAAAACATATTCTTCGCCATCAGAATACTGATGAATAATAGTATGATTCGGATTGCTAGTATATTGTCATGTATTGAATCCTAATCGTATTTTCATCTATCTGAATTCGAACATAATTATTCCTGATAAAAAGAAAATTCTTTTCAAATCCAATGTATTGCAGGATAGTAAAGTAATATTTTCATTACCTGTATGAACTCAGATTGAACGAAGAATACATTGATTCTGAAACTGCTGAGATACAAGAATTTATAAACAATCAGAGAGGGAAATATTGATTGGAGTAGTTGGATTATGAAAAATACGAAGTCAGTTTACGTCGGACGTAGAGCAAGAAAGGTTTCCTATGCCCATTGAAGGTGGATCCTCTAATATCCAAATTGTAAGTACCAATATAATTATTCCATTCAGTAAATACGTTTCTTCCACTTTTTCAAATACTCTTTCAATTTATTTATGTTCCACAATATAACAACAACCCTCTCAAAGTCGAGCAAGTTAGTGGATTAAGTCTATGGAGTAAGTACCCTCAAGGGGTATGCATATTCTGAATAGGTCGTTATAAACACCTACACCACAATATGACATTTTGAGAATGTGTACTGTTATGAATTGCGTTTCGATTTTTTCCATTCAGTTCACCCTGTGCATCGAATATCAACGTCTGAATGTTCGTGTTACTAGTAGATTCCTGAGATAAGTTATGTCATTGTCCGTTGGTGTCAGTGTGAAAATAACTCACCCTCTGTATGTGCAATATTTTTTGATTCAAGTGAACATCATCCTCAATAATCGCCCTCATCTGTAATCGAATATCGATGAACAATAACTAATAGATAACTTGATGACAAAAATTCATTGACCTGCAACAGTAATGATTCAAGACTGGTGCAAGAGATTAGAATATTGTTCAACCATTATTGTTTCTCCACCTTCATGATATGGAGATATTGCACAAATCTGTCAATTCTTGGGTGGTTTTGTGAACTTCAAAGCTATTTTCACAGAACGTTTGACTATTATCGAATTTCCCGCCAACATATAAACGAGGCTTCTCGTTGCGTCCTATCAAAATCAATATCTCTTCACTTACGGGGTAGAAAATGAACATTGAACAATTTTTTCCCATGTTCTGGTTCCCACGAGAAGAGATATCCTGTAATTTTCAGAAAACATCGTGAGAACCAAGGAAAATAAGGTAGGAATTGGTGTTCTTCTCGAATTTCTGGAGGGTATATGCATCGGGGAACACCTCCCTTGGCAATGTGTTCCAGAGCCTCGCTGTTCGTTAGATGAACGAGTCTTTGGAAAGAGATGTTCGGCAGGTCTCTAAAGTGACCACGAAGGGGTGCGAAGCCTCAACTCGACGGGTCAATCTAGCGGGGACTGTCAAGGGAGGAACAATTGTTGATATTCCAGAAGAGTATCGTCCATGAAAATAGCTATGAAATAGAGCCAGATCGCCAGATCGCGAACTCTTCTACGTTGTTCCAGAGAAGTGAGTGAATATAATGAAGTGATACTGATGTCACATTAAAGTGATAATTCAACAATCACATTACGAGTTCGCATTTCTATATATTTGTTATGTGGCTCACTCGGCCAGCGTGGCTCACTCAGCTCGCGTAACCCACTTATGAAAAGAAACTTCAAACCTAAGGAAAAAAATCCCACCCTGAATTTTCACTCGATATCAATGATATGCTGATGTGTTTGAAGTGTTAATAATTGAATGATTGAATGCTATATCTTCATGTAATCAATTGGAAGATACTTACCTCTAGATTATTCGATTGTAATATTTTCCTAAGGGAGTTACTCGACATTCGACAATATGGGGACAATAAAAACGAATGCGATTTGTAAAAATATATTGCTCTCAAGCTCTCATCAAAATAAACGAAATTAACTGAAGACTCATTATTTATGACAACAGTCACAGGCTATTGGGATTCGACTGATTTGAGGATCCAAAGAAAACCGAGTTCATTTTACAAACGCATGGGCGTCTGGATTGCTCAGAGTATCACGTCATCTCGAATGTGGGATTCTGTTACTAGGAAATGAAGACTCACAACCCACAACACTCCCGCAATCCACAGGGCCCGCGGGACCCGCACGGTCCGCGGAACCCGCACGTCCGCGGGACCCGCACGGTCCGCCAAGCTCATTTTTATGAATCGGCCTGCCCTGCACTTTTCATGAATCGGCCTGTCTTGCCCCGCACGCTACATTCTTCAGGCCCGTGGCGGCCCGACCCGCGGTGCGGATCGGGTCGGGCCTAAGCCCGCGCGGGTTGGCCGGCCCGTGCAGAGCTCTAAGCGGGACACCATCACCGTTTCGGCTTCAATGTGTGGGTTGCAATATTTGGTACACGAATTATTGGTCCTTTTATTTACCATGAAACACAGACTTCCGAACGTTGGCGCCCTGGTACATAATTCCAGAGAAGTCCGTGCGTTTTTATCCAAAAAAATGGAATGGTACTCATTCTACAGTCCCTTGGCCGGCGCGGTCGCCTGATTTGACACAGCTGGATTTTTTCTTAGACGACATATCAAAAACTTTGTATACGCAAATAACTTTGATGATGAAGAAGAACTAGCGGACAGTGTCATCGAAGCATTCAATAGAATGACCCCAGAAATGCTTAGTAATATATCTTAGAAGCAACTGTGAGAAGAGGATATCTTTGTTCAGAAAATAATGGTTATTATTTTGAACATTTGTTATAAATGTTTCTGTAGGTATTGTTCTCCAGTAATTCTTGTAAGAATTCATCAACAATTTCAAGCGCTGCATTGAATGACGTAGTGGAATATTTTCTATTCACTTCTCAGTATTGAATAACTAATCCATCAATGTTTGATACTAAATGATCAGTAATAAGTGGAACTGATGGCACTTTTCCTTTGGGAAAAAACATTGATGATGGATAGAAATAGGTTGAAACACATTCGAATCACCTTGTATCATACATGTTTGGATTCAGAATAAAAAAACCTTTCAGAATCTGTGAAAAAATTATCAGGACCGTATTCAAAAAACAAAAGTTGATGATGGTTCTACGAATTCTAAACGTCGCATAAAAAAATCGGTTTCACCACGTTGAACGTCATCGAAAGTTTCTATAAAAAAGTATTTTTAGTTTTTTGTATCTCTAATAGTAACGGAGAAAAAAAAATTAAATGGATATTCCAAAAATTCACTTTTTTCGATATAACTCAAAAACTAGAAATAATTTTCAGAATGTTCGAAGGCTCTTGATATGGGTCTCCGAATGCGCAACTTTTTCCCCATTCAAACTACTTCGTATCTCCTACCGTTTCCGAGATCCCCATGCTGTTCAACCTTATCTTGGACAGACTGTATACGGAAGCACTCAGTTATGTGTGGGTTCTCAAACAGAGTATACCTATCTGCAAGGATCAACCTGGCATCACATATGTGGAATGATTTTCCATCAGTAGATACGTGGGGTGTGACAAACCCCATTTTCTAAGAAGTCAGATACTCTTCATATTCTCTTTCACCTAACTTTTTTCAGGCAATCATTTCAGGATCATTGAAACATGGGAGGAATAATCAAATTACCTGTATTCTAGAAAAATCATTTGATAAACTGAAAAACGGTTATTTTCCATGATCTAAAAACACAACATACCTAACTCAAAAGATACTATTCGATAAAATGAACATTCAATTCCAAAATAAACAATTAAAAACAACGATCAGATAAAGTGAAAATGAGAAAAAAATTGATGTGCATCTCACAGAGCGGAATTGTTTCATTTCGATTCATCCTTTCCGAGATAGATCGTTTTCATTAAGTCATGCTATTCCTTCTATCTTTCTTCCGATTATGGCGTTCACTTTTTGATGTAGCTTCATTGTCTAAACCTATGTCATCAACTCCGGCCCGATTTTGGCTCAAATTTTTCTGTACTCAAGCTTCTTACGTGATATTTTGCCCCGAGCTGGTGTCATGCTTGCTATAAGAAATATGAGTGAGGTTTGCTGGGCTGTGTGCACGTAAATATATACCAAAGAAGGGAAGATTTGTATTTCGTGCAAATCTTTCCTTCTTTGGTATAAGAAATAGGATCATCGCCACCTTAGCTTCCTGATTCGATCACATCGTCATTACCAACAACATATATTATAATCTCCAGAAGTTCAAGAAAAATTTCAATACCTACCACATCTTCCTTTTCTACATTGGAACGCACGATATGTTCTTTGAACATTATAGGGTTTTATTTTCGTGCGCTCCGAGCGATAAAATGAAAAATTTCAGCTCATAGAGCTGGAACCTTCTTCTGTTCCTTTTCGTACCAATGTGAATATTGTCTTAGGTATTGAAATTTTGAAAATTCATTTTCCCGATTCAAGATACTCCAGAATAACAAATTACCTCTTTCCTCAAAATTACAGATGTCAGTATACAAAAGGGGTTTAACGGGAAGTAATAGGTTCAAACATGCCCAAAAGTTTGTCAAACTCACATGTAACGTAGGTTTGAATGATTCAAATTCATACCTGGTGAACATTTACCTCTACATATTTCACTCATATGACGGTTTTGATCGGATTTTTTTTGTATCATTTGGAGCGCACGAAAGGGAATCCCTATAATGAAATGATTTAATCAATTGATAAATCAACAGTCGGTCACTGTGGTCGAAGGTATCAGTGAATCGATACTGAATCGTGACCATCCGATGCAAGACGTTTATCTCATGATAAATTAACTTATTGATATTGAATTTTCGAATAAAATTCGAAGGAAAAATGTTCTAATCATGAATATAATATCTTCAGAGTTATGATGATTCTCCAGATGAAGAATATGCATTTATATATAAGTTCAGGAATAGTACCCCTTCAATATTCATTTGACATTATCCATAATACCAAAATATCACAATTCTCATATAATGATCTTCGATTCATCTTTATGAGGATGATATTCTTCATGAACAAATAGCGACCGACTATATTGAGCACGACATTCATCTCATCAAACTTGATTAATGCTCAATATTCCCATTTTAAATTCTCAATAATGATGATATCATCATAAATATACCTTCAGAACGATGATAATCCTCAAATTGAAATATATGCATATATTCAAAATACTTGATAATGTTGTTATTTTGACATCATCCAAAATAACAAAATATATTATATCTGATATATACAATGATCTATATGTTTCCATGAAGTTGATCGCCATCATGAACGAATTGTGACCATCTGAAGCATGAAGATTCACTCATGTTGATTTTTGAATGAAATAATGAATAAGGATTTCTTCATCAGGAATATTGCTTCAGAATGATGGCCAGGCCAGGTAGCCGTGCGGACAGAGTGTCTATATTCTAATTCGCATTCGCTTGCCGGTCGTGGGTTCGATCCCCGTCGACTGCAGAAGTTCTTCTGATGGCCCAAGAAAGTGTTTGGGATCACACGTTAAAAGGTAAGGCCCCCGTCATTCCTTGCTCGCACAAGACTCTCGAAGACTTTTGAGGGTTGCTCGTGAGGGGGCAACCGAATGACGGATAGAACAAATTTTAGAACAACATTTTAGATGAGATATATTCATATAAAATAAATAAATTCACTAATTTTGTGCATTCAAGATTATCTCAACATTATTCAAACAAAATCTTCTCCAAGAGATTAACGCGCCATCAAAAAGTAGCCACGAGTTTAGGAAACTTTTTTATCAAAACTACCTGTTTGATTTGGAAGTTACTTGTTTTCAAGAATAGGTTTTTTCTTCTGGATTTTGGTGTGCAGATGTCATTCAAATAGAATCTCCATTTTCATACATACCGGGTGTACCAATTACAGATTTTTCTTGACATGAAATTCTAAATATTTTGTATAATGTGATAGCAACACTATCGAGTTAGAATTGAGATCACACTTTGGACATATGAAGGTAGGTTTTTCATCAATCTTCGAGAGTAATCAAAACTCGTCAACGGTGTAGCAGTTTATTTCCATGAGATATTCTTTCAATTGTCCTCTGAATATAGAGATAATCTTCGAATCCTTGATAGAAACATCTAGCTTGTCAAATAGTTTGGGTCCAAGGTATAGGTGACTCCTCTGATAGAGGAAGGTTTGGTGGGGGCTTGCTATCAGCAAACCTCTAGCTCTCGTTGTATAAGGGTAGTCTGGAAATAAATACAGATATTTCGAACACTGAGAAAGCTCGACATGTACTATCGAATGGCATCAATTGAAAAAAAAATCAGGGATCAAAATGAAATTTGAGGTAAGACCGCTTTTTCCATCCAAAGTTCTACACTGGAGCAAATCTGACGTCACTTCTGTTCAAATTTCCATGCGTGAGGCACAACCACGCGGAGTTCAATCATTAAAATTGTTTTAAAGTGACAAACTTGATTTATTTCTCGTAATTTGTTCAATTTCTGGAATGAAATTTCTCGTTAATTGAAAGAATTGAAAAAAATCTGATATGAGAATATTCCTCAGACTGTATCATATCAATGTGCTTAATATCTGCACTTATTTCGAAAACACCTCGTTTATACATATATATACAGACCAACTGTGAGTATTTCCAGATCTCTAAATAAGTTTCTGCATGATTGTCGCCATCTCAAATTAGCAGTTATTCTGACCGCGCGTTTTTGTAGAATTAATACTCTTTCAACAGAAGAGCTCATACCAGAATTTGAGATACCATAGCGATAGGGTTCCTTGATGGAAATTGACGTCAAAGTCATATTTAATAGAATCAGATTTCAATTAGAAATGTTTTTCGCCACATTGGATCCGTCATCCTGAATTATCTAATTTTGACGAAACAATCATTATCTCCTACCCCAAAAACACCCAGTTACCGATTTTGAATAAAATCGGATCACAATTACGAAACTCGTGCCCCATATGATCTTTCTAAATAAGAAAATACCCTGTACATACCTTTTATTGAAATTTTGGATGATTTTCTGTAGCGCCCATGGATGTGACTTGACAGCGATGTCAGGGATGCCAGTAGACAAAACTAGAGTCACTGGATGATATTAGTTTGATGAGAGTTCGGACTCAGCTGAACTTTTGTCGTTTTCTATTTTCTATAATACAATGGTTTAAGTGAATAAAAGAATAAGACATATATTCTGCTCTTTGTCTTTTCAATTTCCCTAGTATCGCCTGATTGTCAGATACGATTTCAGAGGTTATATTTTCTGTCAAATCAATCATAGCCGTAGATGAACAATGGATTTAGGGTACAAACACCTACTTCAATTCATAGTGATACACTTCTAGCAGAACAATTGTTATATAAATGAAAAGAATGCATGTTACAACATTTTAATATTAGAAAATATACACATATGGATAAACTTATAGCTTTAATGGGCGTGTACACCTTAGTGGAACTTTTAACTCAAACCATGTTTATAATGATCCTTTTATACATAAATAATGATTGACGACATGATTCGATCGAAACATTAATTGGAATGTTTAATTTTTGGACATAAATGATAGTACCGTCTGAAAACGGACCCTCTCATAACGTAGAAACCTCATCTCGCCATAGTTAAAAGAAAATACGAAACGCCCGACGGAGACTGAGGCAACTGATATATTTATTCTTTCAACTGTGATCTCGCGCTAATTCACTCTGTCAGAAATCATGTATCATTCATTTCTGTCTGGAATAGTCTTGTTTCAGTATTAGGGTTCTGACGTCACATCATCGCCTCGTTTTCAGAGGTCCGAAAAATCGGGGATTTCAATAATTTTTTATAAAACGTAGGGAGCTCACAGCAAGAAACGGTTTGCGGTGGTGAGCTAGTTTGGGTGAGTTCTATCGAATCATGAAATAAAATTTTCTTGTGATATAAGCCCATTGTATGTGGAACTGTATTCCAGTGATGAGTATGAAACATGAAGTTATCTACATTGAATTAAAGGTAGGTTTTCTTAATATACAGGAAGTAACATAAGTACTTTCAAGTGAAATATTCCTGAGAAGATTATAAGAAATAAAGTCTATATGAGCTTTTGTGTCCGGAAATGCTTCATTTCGGAGACACATGCGGTGCTGAAATACCACATAATTTTTCGATAAAAATTTGATAGGAAAAAAGTAGTTTACTCTGACGAGACCTACCAAATACTTGGTTTTGTAAAGTAACATGGATCGATATAGAAAATATCCCCAAAACGATAACGTCCAGCGTTATTATGAGGCCCTTATAATTCCCTCCATACATAAATAACTATTCACTTTTCACTGTTGAATTTTGAGTTTGGTCGGCACCAAAAACGCCTTTCTATAATATATCACTTTGTAGTTTACTTGCTTTTATTAGTTTCGTTTTCGAATTCTCAATTTCATTACGTAATTTTGCGATCATTTCCTTTTCTCCATGATTATTTCGTTTTGTATTTTGTGTGATGATAATAATGGAATTTTGTTCTCGAAATCGCCTGCTTTGTATATTGATGGAACAGCAGATCCTCACAAACAGATTTTGAAATCTTCTGTTTGAAAATGAGCCTGAAATATGGTTTCATTCAATCAGATGCTATTATAAAAAGTGAATTTTGATGAGTACCTCACAAATTTCGCTCGTCTTCAAATTGATTTTGCACCCAGGCCATTTCATATCTTCCTTCCATAAGTGAATGGTTGATATTTGTTTCGGAAAATAGAATAAATGATATCCATTTTTTTTAAATTGTCACAATTCATTACACAGCAAGTAATTTCCATAGCTGCTTTTATCTCGAATGTATAATTATGGAATTTTATTTCAATTCTGACGTTTATAGAATGTATTGTCAAATTCAAACAATTTTGAATGAAAAAGCGCGGGACGACTATGGTGCTCTTGTCATAATGCAAGGTGTGTAACTTAATGAATCTAAACATTCAAAAACCCTAACCGTTGTCATTTCTGTGTCCAAACTCTTATCAAACTAATAACATCTAGTGACTCTAGACAAAACTGAAGTCTTTAGATCATTGAAAAAGTATGCAGCTATGATCTGTCCGTACCCTGTTGAGATAACTTCAACGTCAATTTCCATCAAGGGATCCCACATAGCGCAAGTGACAGCCAATAGTTGCATAATACAGATTCAGCAGGACCTATGAAATTATTTTTTTTTCAAATGTTTGTTCTGTTTGTTTCTATTTTGTTGGAAATAGGTTACTTTTATGTTTACTGAAGATACATAATGTTTTGACGACTGATGCTTCGGCTATCAATTTGCAGACTCGACTATGATAGACAGTGATTCGCGTCCTTGGTACAAAATGGTCATTCATGTATCAAGGGCGTGAAGTAGGCGTAGTAGACGTTAGCCGAGGGCCATTACACGCCGAAGGCTATCTGGAAGTCCTAAAGACATATGCTTCGGATATTCGGGACGTCCAAAAGACACCCATTTCTAGTACGACGGACGTCTGTAGGACATCCATAGGACATACGATGTTACTATACATAGGACCTCCGATTTTGTTCCGTTTCATGTCTGAACTTTACCATTTTGGGACTAGAATCGTACATATAACCGAGGTCAAAATCTTCAATCAATGTCTTAGTTGCCAAAGCTAATTATTCTAAACAGCAATCGGAGCAAAAAGTTGGTTTTGAAATGAAACATTTCTTGTTTTACTTAATAATTGACAATATAAAAGTTTGATGAAAAATGAAATTAGAAAATTTTTCGACGTAGGTACCAACTTCAAAGTTAGGAATATGTTAGGATAAGTACAACTAACCTGGAAAAATCACTTTCACTTGTACTCAGCGTAGTAAATCTAATTGAATAACACCCCACCATTTTTATAGCGGTTTCCATTGGGCATGAACTGGTGGAGTATTTATGCACTCAGTGTATATATCTATCCTTCTTTTTGACGTGTAGCAGAAAAAGAAATGTATACACTGAGTGTGCACTAGTATTACCAATGGAATCCGCTATTAGTATCACTGAGATAACAGCCTTGATAACATCCACTAACATCTCATTGCTTGTTTTTTCATGTTTCTTAGTTAAAAATATGCTGCGATACACCTAACCTACAAAACCCACTTGCACTCACGTCTAATGAATGTTATCTAATAACTACCCACTATACGTATCACTGAAATAACAGCCATGATACAATCAAAGTGAAAACTATTAAAACAAATATGAAGGACGCCATCGAAACACCAACCCTAACAACACAGGGATGTCCTAGGTACGTCCCTTTTTGTCCCGCGGTACAAGGACATGATTGGGACATTCAGTCGATATTTTGCAGTGGTTGTCCAGTGGACATCCTGCCCGGTACATCCCTAGGTTATCTTATTCGTGTCCCTGGAGTATCTGATATCCATTCACATCAGAGTCATTGAATTTCATCAAACTATTGAGTTGAATTTTTCTGAAAATGTTTGTTTTTCTTTTGGAAAATGATTGTAATGAAAAGAATGAAGAAAGTCTCAGAACTTCTTGAGAAATTACCATTTTTCGCAGACAGAAATCGTACATGCATAATGCCCCTCATTTTTAAACACCCAAGAATGATAATAATTATTCCCAATTCCTAACGAAATTGTATTTATTCAGGTTTCTGTAGTTAAGGTCTGTTTATAAATCTGTTTAGAACATAAATCTTCAGGAAGCATGATAGCCAATGGAGCAAGGTGCGTGCATGATAAGCCAAAGGTCCCAGGTTCAATCCCTACTCGACCTACAACTCTTTTTCTTTTGTCGGAAGGAGGTCTCTGGAATATCCTTGGGACGTCCCAGGGATATCCTTTCATCGTACTAGGTAGATCCCAGGGACGTACCAGAAGGACATCCATTGGATGCCTTTTCCTGTGGCAGCGGATGTCCCTGTGACATCCCTAGTATGTACGTTGTCCCGACAGAGGCAATCCCTGGGATGTCCTAGTATGAAATCAGGAACGTCTCTGGGAAGTCCCTAGGATGTACTGATGTTGTTAGGGAATTATCTAATAATTATACACAAACACACTGCACCACACATGAAAGTGAAAATGTGAATGGCGAATGGGCCTCGGCGATCAATAACGGGATTCGAGAACGGAGAAAATGATGTTTTATTTCACATCATGACATCATCAACAAATTCAGATATGAGTAAGTATGTTTTCATCTGAGTTATGACGAAGAATCATATGATCAGCGAGATAAATGATTATTAACGCAATATGATGATATGATAATAATAATTCGTTTATTCACTACAAAAAGCTATACATATACAACTCGTATTTCATTAATTGACTCTATAATAAACAAGTGGGAGAGACCAGAAGTACAAAGTACTTGTGTAGTTGATCTAATTATTATGATATAGCATTTGATCATTCATCTCTGAAAAAAATACGTTCTTGAAAATGAGAATGTGTGATCGGCCACCTTTCATAAAGTTATTTTTTCTACTCACATAACGTATTTACGCATTTAGCGTACGGATACGTACCACGCTAAATGATCGATTAATCACGGATTGACGATCTGTGATTTATTCAAAATATTAAACACGTTACCATGGCAACACAATTTCTCAAACACATTACCATGGCAACAGAGTTCATTAATCACAGCTTCAGTAATTTGAGACATGTTTGGCCTGTCAATTGTGAGAACTGTCAACTGTCAGTTTCGAATTTTGTATCAGGATTATTCAAACAATTTTTGTTTGTATCAGAATTTTTCATTGAAAATATATGCGAAATGTAGAATAAGAAAGTGAAATCGGAGAGAATGTTTTGGTACTTGCGTATCTCCAAGAAGTGTAAAAATGAAGCATCCATCTTTGAGAACAATTCATTTATTCTGCGCTAAGCATGACAATAAACGTGAAACAAAGGTTAGTGAGCAATGGACTCGACACGACATCTACAACCAATATCACTTATACGTGTCTCGCTGGTTGCACATGCATCAGTTGCATCTATTATGTTCTCAATACCCATTCCTTTCGAATTATTTTGTAGGCATATTGATTTCGACCTGAAATGTACGTCTCAAGGACGTCCGCGTCGTACGTCCTTGGAACTTTTGGCGTCGTACGTCCTCAGGACGTCCAAATTATAGTCTGGGACGTTCGACCGTGAATAGGATATGAAATCGACATCTTCGAAACGTCCTGTGTTAGCTGTGTTGTACCCAAACTCTCATCTTTATTTTTCTGAACTCTATTTTGCTGACACTGTCAATATATATAGTCACATTTTCGGTACTGTCGTCTCGCATATCACGTGTCTGGCCTCGGTGCACACGTCGTCGTTCCACATCAGCGCCTTGGCGCGATTGGAGTACCTTACTACCAGGCATTTTTCCATGCCTGCCTTATTGTCTGGCTGGCCGGGCAACCAGTTGGCAAAAATTATCGGTCGCCCTGTAGACAACCACACCCAGTGATTGTGCGGCATCGTGGTACCGGACGTCCAAAAGGTATATTCGCCCCAGCCAACTGAAACACAAGGTTGCAATGGCTATATATGCAAGGTCTACCAGTATAATGTACCATGAATTTCACAGGGTGAACTAGACACTTACCTCTATACGAAATTGCACCGTTGAGCCGTGAGAGGGCGATGAAGATACATTTTCGTTCACAGATTTTCCTGAATATTTCAAAATCTTTGAAAGCTACTGCTCTTCAATTCGTAGGGCAATTCACCTTCATGAATGTGCATGAAAACCATGTTATACCATGTCCATTATACAGGGAGATTGATATATCACATTCTCTTTGATGAAAATTGAAAATTACAAATTGAAAAATTATTAACGAAACAAATTGAAAAACTCAGAAAGTCTTAGGAGGCTATGTTTAGGTATTTAGGCATAACTTTCGATTGTGAACAACTTTTCTCAATATTATTTTGCTGAATTTCCTGAAAAAAGGGTACGTTATCCTTGAGCAACTTCTATATTTTTTGACCTACTCTGTATGTTGTTCGACTTGCAACCATTTCGAGTGCATTCAAAATAATAACCAAACATGCACCAACTTTCGGCTCTATCCGTAGTTTGGTTGTGCAATTCATTAAAAAGGTTCCTATATGTTGCATACTTAAATGACCACACTGTATATCCATTTTTTCAAGTTCATAATTCATCTGTTGTGGTCAATAACTCAACAGGTTGTCATCTAGAACGACAATAACTCAACACAAATGAGATATAAACTTGGAAAACATGATAATAATCCCTCGGATAATCCTGACACGTACTGACCACAAAACTCAAAGACCTCGAAGGCCAATATTATTCTATTCGAGTGTTCCCTGACGTGGCTCGCACGGCTGATGTGAGCGTGCGCAGTAAAGACACGACCATGCTAGGGGCGGATTCAGAATTGTTTGATTACCAGGTTTTTGTGGTTTTCTTGAAAGAGCAGAACATTGTGAAAAACTCATATAATATTTGATGAATTCCTTTATGTTATCAGGGATAATGGTTCGATGTATTCTCCATCAACTATATAAAATGTTCATTGGTTAGAAATGAGCGAGCTAATATACAGGGTGGTTCAGGCTATACTAGTAATAATTCACCATGGTTTTTCAAAATATTAAGCGGCATGAATATTATTTTTTTTGAAAAGTTCTCCCAGGAAGATACATCCCTCTCAATTCCAGTTTTAAGAATCTTTTTCTTGCTATAATTCTTAGGACATTAAACGAAATTTGGTGCAGATACTTATGAAATGGTTACTTTGGTCGTTGTTTGACGCAACTAAGTTTTGTCAAAATTGTAAAGCGGAGAAGATACAGGGAAGTTGTAAGCTATAAATCATACGAGTGAGAAATTAGCATTTTCTCTTAAGTAATGCTGTTCTATCAGACAGAGTTGTGATGGCTTGAAATTTGATATTTTTGTAGGAGATGTGATTTTGTGGAATAATATCACAACTAATATCATCATTGTGATATCAGAGATACAAAAATAACATTGATGGCATACGGAGTACCTAATTGATTCATCGAACAAAGTAAAACAAGAGCCATTGTGTGTTCTAGCTATAGAAGGAAAAATATAATAGCACAAATTTTGTTGACGATATAAATTTACCTGAGATGAGACATTCCTGGAATTTGTTCTTCATCTTGTCACCAAATCATTCATTTTGGAAACACTGTGCACAAATCAGTCAATGAATGTCAAATCAAATAAGTACTGTTCTTGTCACTATGACTACACCCATCACTCACATTAGAGTGAAATACCAAAACTCTTCAATAATCTCAAATTCACTAACGAAAGACGTTGAACGAAAAGCAGAACACAGAAAAACTGATAGCGTTTTCCACTCGCCTCATTTACAGAGCGCACTAGCACAGAGCAAGTACCGGTTCTTCCATGAGGTGCGGTTCCAGCACAGAGCAGAGGAATAGAAATAGAGAGTTGGTGCGACCTTCTTGTCATCAGAAATGTCAGGATAATTGTTTTGTCAATCAAAAAGTTGAATTATTGAAAGTACATTTGCTTCCGTTGGTTCACATGAAATGAATTCATCTACCTCTTATTGTAGTTTCCCTGTGAACACTGCCATAAATCAGTCAGAAACATATCAGTATGAAATGTAGCATTGAAGTGTCGTTCACGAACTTAGTATTTTTCATCATTACTGCACATCTGAATAGCTTTCTTCACCTTTTAGGTAATTTTGAATCTTCCGTAAACGCTGTTTCGTAACGAATAAGTAGGTACTTCTGTATCTCAATCATCATTTCTTCATCATCGCTTGTATCCGAAGTATCTATGATTCAGGAAATTATTGTAATAATAGTAATAAACTACAATGAGACATTGATGACTATTCAAATTCCAAACATTTTTCCACTCGTGACTCGAATATTTGAGGTTATGTGTATCGCACCGTCGTACAAGCACAGTTCTGAAAACTCGAGCTCTGAGCGGGCATCGAGCAAGTTTGAAAGCCAGTGGAAATCATTTCTCGACAAAAGTTCGCTCTTGAAATTCTCAGTGGACCACGCAAAACGCACTCAGTGCCGAAAAAGTTCGAGCTAGTGCGACGAGTGGAAAACGCTATGAAACTAATTCGGCTCTGTCTTGAGTCTACGTCAGATAAAATGACAGAGGCACATTCTCACAAAGTTGCCAGATGAATTCGTGAGAAATTTGAAGTTCATAATGATTCATCGATATCTTGTTAGCCATTCAATTAATATCAATGAGTCTATGAATTTTGTCGTGAAAATTTTATTGTATGATTTTAGTAAAGCTGTTGATAATCAGATGCAAGAAGTTTTGTAGGAAATATGAACTACGTCCTTATGAATGAATAATATGAGATTTGCGTATGAAAATATGTAACTGACAATGTTGCCGACAATGTGCGCATGATCACCATTGCTGTGAGCATACTGGTTGTATCAGATTTCAGCGATTTTTCACACTTGCTATCCTTCTAGGTCTATGAGTTCTGTGGTCCCGACAAATTATAAACAAGTATTGAGAAGCACCAAAATGAATCATGTTAGATATTTCGAGAACCAAGAAAAATCAAGTAGAATGAAACTGTATAAAGTGAAAAATGAGATAATTGATCTTGTCATTAATTGAAATATGAAAATATGGTCAGTGCCGTACTCTGAAACAGTCAAATCAATTTTTATCAAAGAGAATGCGAAATACCTATCTCTCTGTATATATTGGCCAAACTGATATGACATTTCTTCCATGCAAATTGCCTCAGGTATCTCAAAGCAGTTCCTTCCGAGGAATTTGAAATATTCACGAGAACCTGGAATTAAGATTATTCTTCAACGACCTCTCACGGCTCAACATTGCATTTTTGTATAGAGGAAAGTCGACTTGAATCGGCTCATTTTGGTCTCTAGTTTACCATGTTGAGTTTATGGAATGTTGTTTTGGCACAACCTGTACTAGTATATTGGATGACATCCTGACAGTTTCTTTTCCTCTCAGATCAACACATACATTTTGAATATCTGAGAAGTTATTTAAAATGCATTAATTTTTTGCTGATGTCCCATGAAAATCTCTTGAAAGGTTGTGTTGGATTCATTCATACAGGCAAAATAACACAGTTCACCTAACAAGTGCGAGAAGTGATACTTCTCCGCACGTGTTAGGTTCAATATTTTTGCTACTAGCGGGCGAAGAAACCCAGAAGTTAACATATGGAATCGCATTTATTATATAATACATATCAACAATAACAATATACAACCCAGAATATCAACAAATAAACTTTTTTTCCCGCACCAGTGCGAAAAAGTAACTCTCACAACACTAAAATGAGTGCGGAAAAATTGACTTTGCTGCACGCTGGTAGTGAAAAAGAATCGTGGTTGAATGGGGCATTTCCAATAACTCCAAGATATTCAGGAAAATATCGTGACATGAAAGGCTGATGTTGAACGAAGTTAACAAAAATTTGATAATAACTGCACCATCAGGAGCATCTGTTGAAGATACAGGGTGATTCACTGATATCAGAGAGTCATATAAAGAACAAGAATTGGAAAAATAGTACTCGAAAAATAGAATTTGGTTTACCCTGTATAGAAGGAATGGTAAATTGCGTACCACTTCCGGGAATTAGTTCAGGAGAAGAGAGAGATAAGTGAGTGTTGCTTCTCCCACTGACCCATCAGTTGCAGCATACGGAATAAAATAAGAAAAATGTCATAATATCGATATTATACGTTTTTTTTTGTTGCCATTTCAGATTCATGATATTTCATTTTTCAACCCTTTTCCACTTCATTATCGAATTATCAATATCTCAGTTTCCACAAACAATTGGAAGAATCATTATAAGTTCTTTCATATAATGTAGGTACTTCTCGATGATAGCTAAAGTGGTACCTAGTTTTCACTAGAAGAGGGTTAAAAAAAACAGATGGAATTTTAATATTAAAGACCTGGATGGAATAATTGATAATTTCACTGTGCATTCATAGAATGAGGATAAAATAAAGGTAAGTACTTACGGAGAGGTTGTAAATGTTTCCAAAGAAAGTCGTTTTCTTCTTTACTCTCTATACTCAACAATTCCATGTCATGGTATTTGCAAAACAGAATTGCGCTGTGATAATCTCCCTGAAAATGTTCATAAAGGATAAAAACAAAACCTCGAGATATTGAAACAATATCAGACTTTTCACCATCATACAGTTGAAGTGTGGGGGTTTTCTCTAGTCAATAAAAATTATAAGTGACTTTCATCGACAATAATTTACATTTTCATAGATAGATACCCAAGAGATTCTTCATCAGAAAGCTACGAAACAATATTGAAAAGGAATATTCTCAGATATATTATGAACAAAAAAAAATCATATATACAGGGTGTCCCAGAATGAGCCTGCCAAACTTCAACAGCGGCTTTTACGACCAAAAATTGGAAGAAAACGTTCAATGAACATGTGTCGAGAATTGTCTCCCAAGGGAGATACGGTACCCTCAAAGGGGGCTTCTGAAAATGATGTTTTTTGAGTATTTCCGAAACTCCATGGAATAAAAAGAAGCAATTTGGTACCTATAATTTTCATGTTCAATGCAGTGAAAATGAAATTATTCCGAAATTTCAATCAGGAGTGTATGATACAGGGTGAGACTACATTTAATATCGCTCAAAATTTTTTTTATGCTCATTTTTCGACAATTTAATCTCGGATTATGAAATTTAATACCTTTTTACAGAAAAAAGGTACTCCTGTTCCGTGACGATCAGATGTATCATTATCGAGTAAAGGAATTTTAAAAAAAATATTGTTACATCTCAGATATCAAGAATAACATTGCGATGAGGCGTAGTGGAAATGAAAAAAAAAATGCAAAAAAATCAAAGTAGTTTTTTCATCATCTTCTTTGTATTTTTTTATGCTTTTTTGAGGTTGTTTGGTAAAAATAAGTACTTGATTTTTTAAAGCCACTATGATTTGAGAATTGGCAACGTTAGGCATTAGATGTGAGCTCGGATGTGAGTGCATCAATATTTTTTAATGAATTTCACTCGAAAATGATACATCTTATCGATGCGGAACAAGACCATTTTTTTTGTGAGACGATGTGGATTTTCATAATCCAAGATTGAATTGTCAAAAAATATGCATACGAAGAAGTTTGAGCAATATTTAATGTAGTCCCACCCTGTATTGTACACTCCTGAATGAAACTTTGAAATGATTTTATGTTCACCGCATTGGGCATGGAAAGTTTAGTTCGTGTACCAAATTGCATAATTTCATCACGTGGCGTTTCGGAAATATTCAAGAAATATCAGGACCTCCCTCTCAAGGGGTCGTAACTCCCTTAGGAGACATTTCTCGACTCACGTTCATTGAAACTTTCCATCCTACTTTTGGTCGGAGAAGCCACTGGTGAAGTTTGGCAGGCTAATTTTGGGACACCCTGTATATATACAGGGTGATTCGGGTATTGAGGCACAAACTGGAATGGGAGATACATCTCATCATTTTGGTCAAAAAAGTTTATATAAACATAAGTCCGATCTCGTTTATTAGCGAAGCTACGGAGGGTCGAAGTTTAATTATTTTTGTCTATTAATTGAAATATCTCGCCTAATTTCCGAAATATCGTTTCGAAATTTGGTGTGGTCAATACTTTCTAGAAGATCATCATTTCTAGCCATTTAAATATTTTAAAAATCAACGGAGATACGTTTTTGGGGGTAGAGGCTTCTTTATCCCCCCTGAACTTTTTTGTAGTACGCCTCTGGCATCTCTCAGTGATCAAATTGTGTGGATCGTTCAATTCACAGGCTTTTTTGCTCCCCTATTTTTTTCGAGAAACGAACCGGTTCTGAGATAAATAAGCATATGCGTTCTAAAACATGTTAATTTTGCCTATGTTTTGCTTACATTTTATTTTCGTTGAAAATGCAATGAAATCTACTCACTAAAATCGCAATCACAAGTCCAATCTGGATCAGAATTGGGGATACAGAGGGTAGAGAGTCAAGTTTTTTTTTTCAGTTGAATAAAATTTAAGCGGAACATAAGCAAAATTAACATATGCCTTTTTAGAAATGGCTTGTATCTATCAAGAGGCCAACAACATGAATGAAAAAACGGACATCAATCATCTAAGTGAAATTTATTCCTATTTATTGACATTAGGTAACAACCCCTTCAGGGTTAATTCCATTGATAATTCTGAACTATAACATCCATATTATCAATTTCAAAATTACCACAATTTTTACAGTTGGTACAATAGTTGGTACTACTGATAGTACTTGTCTTGTCAATACTGTCAACATTCTAACCTAATTTCAATGTCATTCATTCATTAAGTTTTTTCATATCCGGCCACATGGTGTCCATGACTAGCTAGCTCAAGTTCAAGTTCAAGTTTTTAACATGTGTGATTGTATCTTTACTACTGTTGTATTTTAATTGTTTTATATAACTTTACAAACAACTTCGTTCCTGGATGATGTATCACATTTCATTTCTGAAAATTATTGTTAACATCATAGTAATCATCCTCACGTAGATGTAAGTACAAATTAATTTTGACTTTTATATTATTACTGACAATAATTATTGTAGTATGCCCTGATGATCGAATCAATTAAATTCCGAAAGCTTGGATAATCTTCAAAGAGTTCTCTTTTACTTGCTGCAAAACCTCACTATTTACTAGTCGATATATATATATATATACACATATATATTATATGTTTAAAGAAATACATTAGGAATTTGCATTCTTTATGTGATGAAAATGATTTTCCTTCTTCGATAATTTCAACAGAAAACAACTACTTTCCTGGATATATGCCACGCTGAATATTGAATTGCATATATCGAACACACACGATAAGAATTTGGAATTTACATCTCTTGAAGTTGAGAATTCGCATACGCCTTCAGAAAGTATATATAATATTCAACACGAAACTTTCCTGACTACTTGCCACGTCAAACATTGTTTATATCTGTGGAACATCCAAAAGGAGAACATGAAAATAAAAATCCCCTAAAATTGAGAAATGACAGTCTCTCACAAATTTGATTAATAATATTATGTATATTGACATGAAGGTATAACCTACCAGTATATTCAGTATTCAAATGAAAATTGAAATGTATAGAGGAAATTAACTTGTATAAACTCTGATCTTGATGAGCTTGAAACTTCCAGAAATCATTCATCGTCGACTTTATTCGAATGAACTCATTTTGAGTATCACACCCTCCTCAGTAACCTGGAGTCCAGTTATTTTCTCAGTTATTCTTCATGCAATACACAATTTTCTTCTTCCTACAATATTCCCATATCACTGATACGAATGATTTCTGGAAGTTTCAAGCTCATCAAGATCAGAAATCATATATCAATTTTCATTTCAATACTGTATATATTGGTGAATTATATTTTCATATCATTATCCATTATATTATTTATCCAATTTGAAAGAGAATGTCAATGCTCAATTCTAGAGGATTTCAATTTTTATATTCTCCTTTTGGATGTTCAGCAGATATAATTCAATGTTCGACGTGGTGAATAGCTAGGAAAGTATTTCTTTTCTGTTGAATATTCGAATGATAGTATGTGCATATATATTTCCATCTGGAGGAGAATGCAAATTGGATTTTCTTAATTCAAAATTTTTTTTCGCGTCCGATATGATCAATATCAATTTGTCATACATCCAAAAACTTCGAAACTATGTACAAAATAATGGATCTTTACCGCAAATATGGTTTCGAAATAGTAATGTCTGTCTCCAAATTTCTCTAATCTGAACCTAGGTATAGTATTGGTGAGTACATCATGGTCAAAAGAAACTGTAAAATAAATAAAAGTTTCAGATTCAACGACAGACTATGTCCATATCATCAGTTAGGTACACTAACAAAATATATATTCAGTTAGTACCCATCTACTCACCTTCATTCATTACGGAATTATTTTCTGGTTTTGATAATATTGAATCGATAAAAACGACACTAAAAATGACACTAATCAATAACCTCTGAACCATTTTGAGTCTCGTATGATTTCTCCCATACTGATTGATTGTAACAAATGAGATGTTTTATATTGACCATCAGTTGAGATAACCCCCGAGATAACCATTCATGAGATAACCCAAGACATAACATGGGGGATTCCAGGTTTACGTTTACTCTTGGGATCTCTGTCTTGTGTGTCTTGGTGTTTGTTTAAATTTTTTTAGTAGAATGTTCCAGTTATACATTAACCGCCGACAAAAAAAAAACAGAAGAAATGATAATTAGCATCCACCATCATTTCTATTATTCTTGTATCAATTGATTATTCTAGAACACGTGATTTTGACATGGTTTCTTGAGGGGCACACAAACTATCTGTCAGGTTACCTCTGATGAGCATAGGCCTGGCCGTCCCTGCCACATCCACAATATAATAACAGTTTCACCAAACAAAGTTATGAAATTCTATCTGGTTCCAATTCGGATTCCAAGGAAAACGATCCCACTAATTCTGGTTTTATATGACAAATCTTGACAAAATACAATGTTTGCCCCTCAGCAACCTGTCAACTGACGTAATTCTGGAATGAGTAATACAAAATATAAGAACGACTTTTTCAAATAAATATTGTTTGAAAGGTATTTTCATTGATACTTGATGGACAAGTAGGTGATATTTTGTCAAGAATAAATCGACATCTGACGAATGCAATAATTACATCACTACTCATACAGGGTGGTATTTAAGTATGTGGTCAAACTTCAGAGGGCGATTATTTCGGTAGAGTTCATATAAACATGTTCCTAGATCATGATGTTCACGTCGTTGTCTCTCCATATCTTTCATGAAATCATGATATCATATTTATCGAATATCAGACAAAATGAATCGCACCAAGAATATTTTTTGGAAATGAAAAGCATAATTTGAAGTATCTTTTCTGCCAAATCGTTGGAAGTCTTGAAAGATTTCTTATTCACTCCACAGAATGTTCATTCCATTTATGATATTGAAACTTATCATTGAAGAAGTATTCACCAATATGTCACAATGTAGTTCTAACTTTTTGGCAAGTTTGTAGGATGAAATTGTTCATAATTTATGATTAATTCATAATTCTTCTGAACATGGACCTTGGATTTATTTTACTATTCTTTTCTGACTTTCCATAGTCGATGCGATCATCAGTGAAGTTTGAAATTTCGAAACGACTGACAGTGTTCCAGAAACTAACAGTGCGTGCGTATTTCGGTAAGCCTGTCCTTGATGATAATATTTGGTTTTCAGTTCTGGCTCTCTCCTTGATGGAAGTCTCGAGTGAAATTTTGATATTTTTCGCCAATATTTCATCGGTTGCTACACTGAGAAAAACTGGTTAATTAAATCGTCTAGTTGGTATTTTTTTAGTACCGATAATTAAAAATATTTGGAATTTTATTAACAATGACAACGTATCCTTATTTCCTACAAATGACTTTTCTATTTTTCGCCAATTATTTGTCATCAATAAAAATATTATTTGTGACAGAATCATCACAGTGTTGTCTATTCAGTCAATTAAAATTTCATATTGGGGTTGAAAAACCTCATTCTGGGGTTACTAACAACAGCTGACTATTTTCCACAACTGATGACACATTTATCGTAAAAGGTTCATTATTATTCATAGCAGAAATTGTTTAGCCATAACTAATCATTTTAGTTGTACTGCGTCGTTCGGGACCGCCTCGCATCTCTTCGGGACCCACCGGCAAAAATTGCATCTTGCATCTGTTTGTCTTTCTGTTATTTCATCATTTGAACTTGTATCTTAAGAGTGGGTAGATCGCACGGTCGTCGAGCTTAGACAAAATAAATAAAATAATTGTCTAGTGTAGCCGGGAGCGTCCTGTTCTTGCTGGTTCACTGCTCTGTGTGTTTTCAAATCACTGTTTTGTGTTTTTTGCACTTCGCGCTGAGCCATTTGACATTTGGTTGGCAAAATGAAAAATCGCAGTTTACCATCGTTATCTGTGCGTCACTAGTTATCAGGTTTAGGTACCTATTCACAATTCAGTTCAGTTTACAACGGGCGACGGTGAGAAACGTCCATCCGACATCACGTGTACACGTTGTATATTTTTAATTCCCTCTTTTTTTGCTGAGCTGTGGCCTGTGGCGCTTACGGTCTGTGGTGTATTCCTGTTCACGATTCCATTGGAAATTGGAAGGAAAATGGCATACAAACTGTTATTATTAGAATGGGGCCTTGATTTCAATTGATATAAAACTATTGAGTTGCCAGAATAACTAAATTATATTTCAAACGTTACTAAATCACTTTTAATAGTAACTAGAATCCATTTCAGTCACAATTAGATATTTGATTTGCAACAACACACTCACTATTAACGTCAGAAGAAATGAGTAATTGCCCCAACTGGGATAATTTGTTGTGATAACAAACATATATTGAAACAGTACTAACAATCTAATTGTCATAGCTATGTATCTTGCTTGTGGCAAATAAAACTTGGTTTCATTCCTTAAAAAGGCTTATCAGTTACCACAACAACGTCGTAGATGACTCAACTAAACTTTTCATTTGAGGCAAATAGGCGTTTCCAGAAAAACAGAATTAGTTATGGCAACAACTAATGCTTGCTGTCCCCTATCGTACTAAAAAATTTTTCTGTAGTTACCAATTTTTTAGTAACGGCTACAATTTTTTTCCCTCAGTGTATATGTACAAGATCATTGATAGGGTGATATGTATCAAATGGATTTATCCACGAATTTTTTGTCAATGATATCATCTTTTCAGCATCAGTTTCATCTCGTAATCTTTCGGCTTGACCATATCTGAATGCATTCTCTTCAGATACCATTTGCTACAATTCTTTGACGTATTCACCAATAAGATCCCTTGTAATCAGCCATCTACAAAGTGTCCCCTCCTGTTCTGTTCGTAGACGTGAGTCAATTATTCCTGGAGATATCGTCTCTCATATCGGGCAGCAAGTGGTAGTTTACAGTAAAACGTCAATATCGAGAAATTCGTTCAAGATAGATCAATACGAAATGATCGTTATGGACTCGCGCAGTTTTTCATTAATATAAAAGTATCATTCATTACTTTTGAATAAGCAATTTATTTGGTGTTGAAGTAGATTGAAATGTGATGAAAAAGCGTAATCCTCTTATTCTTTCAAATTTTCAACATATTCCAAAATTTTGAACAATACGTAAATATCAAAATGTACTAGGATGTTTTCTCTATAATGACGAGGAAATTCTGTTCCCCTATACCTCTGATCATAGTTGTTATATATCAACCTAATTAGAGAAAACAAGAAAATCAAATTTTTTTCTACAAACGTCAAAAAATGACAAGGTTCGCGCATTGATAACAAATTGCGAAGTGACACTTTTTTTCAGTTTCCTACGTTACCATGATACCTTGCACAAAACAATGCGCGAAGTAAAACAGTGCGCGAAGTACCTACTTCGCGCACTGTTATGTAAAAGTTATGAGATTTTTATATTTCAACTTTATGGTCCTGAATCGAGCAGAAAGCCACGAAATCATTCATTTCTGAATGTTCAACGATAACTTTTGTTTTATCTCTTGGAGTGCACGAAAGGAAATTCCTATTATGTTTGTGGAACATCGTGCGTACCTATAGGGAGGATAGGGGGAGGCCTTTTAATCTAGTTCAACACTATTTTTTATATCTAGCTAAGCATATTTTAACTATCGAACTATGTTTTTTGACGTTTGTAGAAAAAATGTTGTTTGCAACTCGAGCGCGAAATACATTGGTCATCTCGACTATTTTTTCAACTCGGCTACGCCTCGTTAAAAAAATCAGATCTCGATCACCAAAGTAGCATTTCGCGCTCTAGATACAAAAATAACTATTTCTCAATAATCCCAATATTTTTTCTCTAGACCAATGGAGATTGTCGCAAATTTTCAAAGCACATGTAAGAGCCATGAATATAACAAGATCACAAGGTTACATCAATTCATAGGGACTTAACTAAGAAACGGTATGCTCAATGTTCAGTGGTTTGAATGATTTCATCAAGAATCATTTATTATAGTTACGTGATATAGAGAAAACGATAGGAACCAATCGCCTCTATATCGTTTCTGAGTCGATAAAATCAAGGATATCGTTTTGTTCTATTACATTATTTCACAATGACAATGAAAAAATTATGGACGATTATTTTCAAACAGTTCCGTGCAATTATGTTGATATATTAATTTGGGTTCAACTTAAGTTGGGCATTGGCCTCTGCCTTATTTTTTTGTGTTTACTACTATTGATTACTTTTTCGAATATCATTATTCTCTTGGTATCAACAGAGTAGCTCTATTTTTTTTATATATTTTATGCTACCTACAGCATAATTATTATTGGCTCTAGGGATGTGATATTGTGAAATGATCCACCTACTCTATTCAGAATTCCGTTCGCCTATTGTAGTTACAACTTTATAGTGATAAGCATAGTGCATACATTTCTTTTCCACTTCATTATGTTTATATAGTAGATACGTTTCTAATGGTTAAGTGTAAGAGCAAAGCTACAGTGCCTCGCAGTGTAGATGTGAACTTCGCCATTTGGATTCAAAACTACACTCTTATGATATATGAAGACGTTTATTATTATTTTCATCATTATTATTTTACGAATTCTTGTTATTCCAGTCACGACCCTGCGGCCTCCGACGCCTCGCAGAGTCGTGCTGGATAAAATCCAGTGACCATTGCCCACAGCCTGTAAGGTGAATAGTCACTGGGATCAAGAACCGTGTGCCCTGAGTGAACGCAATGATCCAAGTATGACGGCCTTCTGCATTCCACCAGTCAGGATGTGTGCCTTATCACGGCACGCTGGGGTTTTCTGGATTTCCGAGAGCAGCGTGTGTCGTGTGCTTCCTAGGGAGCCGATTATCAGGATGACCAATTCCACAGAATGGTCTGGATAGAGCCTGCGGAGTTCGAAGAGAAGATCTCGATATTTAGTCCGTTTCTCCCCCTCCTTCAAAACGATGTTCGGTTCGGCTGGCGCCGAAAACTCTATCACAAACATCGCTTTGGAGTGATGGTCGAGGAGGACTATATCAGGCTTGTTAGCTTGTATTTGCCTGAGGGTGGGGAATGAGAAGTTCCAATAAATTCGGCACCTCTCATGCAAGAGATCTGCTAGACTATAGAGGTCAGGTCAATTTAGCGATGGCACTCGACTTGGACTCGAGAGGTGAGGTTGATCTTGATATAAAGAATGTTTCTTAAAAATGCGATAATACAAAGTTCTTCGATACAAATTGAAATTCAGTGCCTATGACGATTTTGTCCCGAGTTAAGTGTTGAGTTCTATCTATCGCTGAATATGATAATTCTATGACATCTATGTCCATGACAGCTTGCGCACGTGAGTAACTTCGTTTTATGATTTGATCAAACTATACAAAATCGAAATCACAGCATATTCAGGTATCTAGCAGTCAACATGTTTCCGAGCATCAACACAGATATTTCAACCAATCAAAAACGTGAATTTCCGAATGAGTGGAATAATTGATAGTATCGTTAGCACCAATAACATTTATCGATACAATTCAACAACCTATATGAAGATTTTATGTCCATGACATAACAGGGGGTGCGTATCATTTCAGCCACATTTCTTCTCAGCCACATATCGTGTCAAACACATTTCGTCTCAGCCACATCTCGCTTCAGCCACATTTCGTGTCTGCCAAAGTGTCGGAATATACCCGAACGATGCGCTGTTGCCAAATACGAACCGATTCTTTCAATTCGGCAGAAATACCCAATACAGATTCATCTCGTTCCAGCCACATTCCGTCTTAGCCACATTTCGTGTTCATTTCATTTCAGCTACATTTCGTCTCAGCCAGAGTCCGTCTTAGACACATCTTATCTCAGCCACATTTCGTTTCAGCCACATTTCGTGTCCATTTCTCGCAGTTTATCCATATTCAGTGGAAAGAAGAAAAACTATCATCAAAAATAATGGCGGGGTAACCTCATTCGAAAGCAATCTGTTCACATTTGACAACTAGAATTTGGATTGATTATTGATCGAATGGCCGTATGGTATGATTGTTCACTACATATGAAAAACTCGCCATACAAATCATATTTCGTGTTTTTTTTTTTTATAAGAATGTGTCACTGTAGTAGATCATGAGTATATTAGTGTCCAATGACGAAATAGGAATAGCAAATAACTGTAAATGCATCCACCACAAGGGGAAAATGAAGGCAAAATTCCGAACTTTTTCATGAAATATCTTGATAAATAATGGTTTGTTCACATTTTCAGTATCATACTCGTGTATTCCAGACGAAAATACGCAAGTCCCAAAGAAATTCCTGAACAGAAACCAACGCATGATAAGTGCAATTTACCCTTATGTGGCTGAAAAGGAATGTGGCCGAGACGAAATGTGGCTGAGACGAATGAAGCTGAAACGAGATGTGGCCAAGACGAAATGTGGCTGAGACAAGGATTTCCTGATTCAATGCGGAACAGCATTGATCAAACCATATGTCGCTCTTGAATAGGTCCAAGCAAATATTTGTTTGATTTTTCAACAGAACTTTCTTGACTCATTCATAAAAGAAATCCTTGATTCGAATGAATTTTCCTTCATTATCACAGTACGTATTTGTCGAAGAAACAATCAATAAGTTTGAAACAAGAAAATCATTCTATTGTCAAGTTAATCTCCCATCATAGTTGAACAATTCTGTTCTTGAATCAAGAAATTTCGAGCTTGTTGCAAAGAGATGTTGTCTTATTATAATGAATATTTCTCCAAAAGATCCTCATTCTCTTTTGTCTCGAGAGATAATCATTTCGAAGGAAATCAAAATACAGCTCACTATTAGGGTATTGATGGTCATGAAAAGAATAAAATGAACAGAAGGCTTTATTATCAGAACTGGAAAGGTGGAAAATTCATTTTTCAAAATTTTTGTGATTTGCTGTCCTCGCCTTCTTCTCCAGAATGTCACTGTGATTGAATGTTGAACCTCAAAAACCTAGAGAAAAGAGTTGAATCATCATCTGATAAAAATGTCTAGCGTATTTTGCATCGGAGTGGCTGGTTGAACGGAAATCACTAACAGTATACCTATAGAACTGGCAACAGAAGAAACAACATTCTCATTCAGCACATCAGATAGGCATTGTCGAAAATAAACGGAATCTCAAGGCAATCAGATATACTTATTCTGGTTACAAGAAATTCTGCGTTTGACAAAAGAGCAAGTATAAAAGTTGTTAGGTATGTAAAAACATGAAGGAAGGAGATATATCATCATTGCATGGTTTAATCTTCATTCTAATCAGGAATGACAGGAATCAATTGAACAATATACAAAGAATGGACAATTACCTACCTTCACCTATACCTATTAGGGCGTTCATCGAATGATATGCGACTGGTCAAATCGTCACTGCTGAACGAATGATGTTTTTAACATAAGTTCACGATGAAATAGGGAGAAAAAACACCTCAGTACAACCATGTTACAAAAACATACGAAGTTCAGAGTTCGTTTCCGTTCGAAATTGATACCTTCCTACTCCTACACGTATTTAACTTACCCTCGTAGAGGGTCTTCAAATGTTGAATGCCACATATATTGCTGTGAAGATGATATCACACCATTATTATTCATGACTCAGCACACTTGATTCTTGCACACTTCACCATTGGAGAACAAAAATGTTTTGCACCGTCTTGAGAAACAACAGCGACAACGGCGAATGGCGGCTAACGACTGACAAGTCGAATGGGCGCAGGCGTTCAGTGGTCTCCCACCGCTGTACAGTCGTCTTCAGAGATCATGTCGCGGTTGGACGGTGTCAGCGCTCTTATTGCAGGAGTTATTAAGAATGCCATCATCGTCCATGTGCAACATGTTTTCTGAAGATGACTGTACCGGCTAAACTAAGAATGGCTGTCATCAAGCATTCTTACAACTTTGATCGTTAATATCTTCCGTTAGCAAAAAGCCATGTTGCGGTTTCCGTTGGTCTTTTGAAATTAAGTTTCTTCATCTTATCATGTAAAAACATACATAACATTACTTTTCTTTTCATCACGATATCCATTAATCTACGACAGCCGTTCTTAGTTGTTCAGCATGTACATAACTGTAAGCCTTCCAGCGACAAGCAAAGATTTTCTTGAACCAACATAAATGGGAATTCATATCACTTTCAGTGGAAGTTTTCTCGAATGAAAAAATATACTGTATATGTTGAGCAAATTCATATCAAGAAATTTCAAGAAACGAAGCAAGCAGCCAATTGATTTGAGACAAATGTATATTGCACCATTCAAATGAAGAATTCAATTTACTTCCAAGAAAATGGACTTGTTTGATTGAAAAAATCTTTTTTATCTGTGAACGAAATGTGACTGAGACAAAATGTGGCTGAGACGAGAGTGACAAAGGAATATGCTCATTTTTTTCGATTCTGTCAAATTAGATATCGGGAGAGTATATGGCAACAGCGCTTCATTCGAGTATGTTCGGATTGTGGTATGCGGTATGTGGACCAGACAAAATGTGGCTGAGATGAGATGTGGCTGAAACGAGATGTGGCCGGAACGGGTTGTGGCTGAGAAGAGATGCTCTTATAACGGGTGGAAAGAGCTTGTACTATTCGAATTCGACGTGGTCTCACCGGCTCGAAAGTAACAAGCAGCATAGGTCGAGGCATACCATTCTGATTGATCCTCATATCACAGGAGATGATAGTCCCATATACGTCGTGAAGTTATTGGTATATTACGTTATATGTGTTGTAAAGAGCATAATTATTACGCACGAATGGAAAAGTTACGCACGTAGTCGCGGAGCGGCGAGGGCGTAATTCCATGAGTGCGTAATTGCTTTACAACACGCATTAGGTACTATACTCTACCTACTGCCTACATCAAGAAAGTTTGGACAAACAATCTGAATTGTAATTCTTGACAAATATGTCATCCGCTGTTGACGACGATTACGCGATCATGGCACACCTATACTGGCGGAATATACCAAAAATGTGCGATGTGCTTACTGTGCGAAGAGAGCTACTTACTGAAGCTGTATCTCGTGTGTTCTTGTCTACTTTTCATAGTGGCCGTAGGTAATAGTATATTATGTAACAAGTGTTATAAACGTCCTTTTAGTAACGAGTATTTTAAGCACGAGCGGAGCAGAGCGGAGCGAGTGTTCAATGAACGAGTGTCTAGAAGAGTTTATAAACGCGTTACATACGATGCTATTTCTACGAACGCCGAAAATTACATTTACATACCTGCAATTGCTGCTAATTCGAAAGAAATGGGAATTGAGAACATAATACATGCAACTGCATGCAACCAGCGAGACACGTTATAAGTGATATTGGTTGTAGATGTTTCCAGTTCATTGCTTACTAACCTTTCTTTCAATAATCAATTCATCAATTGTTCTCCAAGATGGATGCTTCATTTTCACACTTCTTGGAGATATGCACGTACCAGAACATTCTCTTCGATTTCACTTTCGTCTACTTTTCGCATATATTTTTAATGATGAATTCTGATACAAACGAATATTGTTTGAGTAATTCTGATACGAAATTCGGAAATAACAGTTGACAGTTGATACAATTGACAGGCCAGACATGTCTCAAACTACTGAAGCTGTGTTTAATCGTGTTGCCATGGTAACGTGTTCAATATTCTGAATGAATTACAGATCGTCAATCCGTGATTCATCGATCATTTAGCGTTGGTACATATCCGTACGCTAAATGCCATTTTAGTTATGTGAGTAGAAAAAAGATATTTACGATACCAGTTCCGTATAGACTCATATCACGATATGAGATGGAAATTTGTCAAACGAGGCCGAAGGCCGATTTTGATAACCTATCGAATATCGTAATATGAGTTCGCGATACGAATATAGTACAATATTTCACCTACTACCAAGAAGCTGATTATTCAATGAAAAATATTCAATATTCCTTGAACTGACGATTCATTAGGAATATGTAACGAGCAAGCGTTACAAGGGTTGGGCGTATGTTGTCGTGAATCTATTGTGTTCTTGGTTGTCACTTATTCGGCGAACTATCAACTTTGACGCGTTGATTTCAAATAAAAATCATCGGCATGAATTGAGATCAGGAAATTCAAGATTCCGTTAAAGAAATTGCGGCGGATGCAGCAATCGAAACATTAGTACCTGCTATATTCATGATAACATGGTTCTCATTTCTTCTTTGAGTGAAAATAACATTTGAAATTATACATTTTTCACGTTACCACACTAGTGCGGTGAAGTATTCCATTACGATACTGAAATCAGAGTCGTAATGTTTCACATTACATATTGGTAGCAGGTAAAGGAATATTACCGAATCATGGGCTCATGAAACGCACTGTTATTGGATGGAATCAGCAAAATGTCAGATTATGACTTGCGAAAAAAGTAACCCACACAATGTCCTATCATTTGTTACCTTGAAAATCTATGCACTATACTTATGAAGGGATTTTTTTGTCCTCTAGAGTTCTTGCATGCCATATATTTCATTGCAAATCTGAGTGCTTCTAGTGGTTACCAACATACTCCTGGAATATAATTAAAATCGGTTCAGTGATATTCACGTTACAAACATATTCGATTCTGCACCACTGGTCAAAAATATTAATAAAAAGCAAGAGAGTGCCTGCTCAGTATAAACATGAGAAGTATATAGTAAATAAGTCCTAAGTGGATCGCTAATCAACTTTCATTGACACGAATCATCATAGGGTGTCCAAAATTTGAATACAACTTTTCAAATTTCAAAGCACTATATCTTTCCTATTTCAAATTGAAATCCTTCTATATTTTCATGTCATCCGATGCGTGAATGAAAAACAAACTTTTTCTCTTATCAAAACCCTATCGAAATTCTCATCGTATCAAAAGTTTTTTCCGAAGACTCGTTTCATCAATCATTCTGATTCTGATCATTTGAATGAATAAAAAACGAAGGTGGCTTTGAGAAGTGAATTATTGACATTCAACTCCACTGAAGTGCCAGGAGTCAATTTGGGCTTGAGTAGTTTGAATTCAATATATATTTTCACCTCATTATTCTGAATTTTCTGAGCTGCTTAGGTCGAAATATCGTTTTTTGTTATGAAGTACCACCAAGAAGACCTCGTATATATTATTTCATTATTAAGAGAATGTAGGGAATACTATTTTTTTGGCAAGTCGAGTTTATGCACAACGTTATCCGGAACGACGTCATCCAGACAAAAGGAGCATGCAGAACTTATTGGATAGGTTTGTACGAACCTGAAATGTGAAATATTCAAAACCAGTTTGAGAAACACCTGTTCGGAATGAAGAAAATCAATCGGCTGTGCTGTAATCTGTTACGGAAAATCCTTCCATTAGCCAGCAAGCAATCGCAGATGCTCTGAACTTGAGCGGAAGAACTGTTCAACGCATTTTATAAAGACAACCGTTTTCATGCCTATCATATTCGGTTTCATCAAGAACCCTTTGAACAAGATTTCAAATAACATGTCGAATTCTGTAAATGGGCGCAAGGTGAAATTGAAGTGAATTTCGACTTTTTTGATAAGGTTTTGTTTTCTAATGAGGCCACCATCCATAAGAATGGATTTGTGAATCGTCACAACTTCCATTATTACTACGGTCACAATCCAAGGGGTTTCAGGCAGATTGATATGCAACACAGATGGTCAATCAATGTGTGGGGAGGAATTATTGGTGAACATGTTATAGGTACCTACTTTTTCGACGGGAATGTGAATGTACCTATGTATCTGGAATTTTTGCAAAACCAATTCATCAACCTTCGTGAAAATCTACCAATAGCTGTGAGGAATGCATTGTGACTACAACATGATGAAGTCCTAGCACATTTTTCATTACACGTCAGGGACCATCTCAACACTTTTTCTCCAGATCAGTGAATTGAAAGAAGAGGGCCAAGTACGTGGCCGTGAAGATCACCTTCTTTGACCAGATCGAATTTCTTTTTGTGTGGATATCGTTCATCAAGAACCTCCTACCACACCAGACAATATGCAGCAAAGAATCCTCAACGCATTTCAAACTATTGAAGCCAACCTATTACAAAGAGTGGCAATGTTATTCTATAATCGTATTCGCTTGTAGAACGGGAAATATATCGACCAACATTTCAATATTTAGGTAATAACGAGGGTAATACTCCTATTTGTTTGTTTTCGAAAAATAGATCGCTAGAACTACTGTGCTTTTCTATACTTCCATGATGTGTATAAGATTTAGACGAATATTTCTGTTGAACCCTTGTTTCGGAAATTGGGAGTGGTTCCATGGCTGTTAGCGAGTAGTGTATATCACTGAAGATGACTCCACTTGGTCATAGAGTGCATTCTTGGTATATCTCTCGCTCCAGCAAATTTCAGGATCCCTACCCCACCAATACGTGAGATGCAGGGGTGTTTCCATCAGAAGTGGGTCACACTGTATGCTCTCTTTATTGTGTCTTTGATGCTATAATAGGTTGAATGAAACTGAGACTTTCAAGAACGAGAAAACCCCTCTATAACTTTAATGTAGATTTTGAAGGTAACACATTCGATGCATTCACCCGTTTACCTGCAGCCACCAACTGAAACACGCACGGATCCACCTGGTGCCCCACCTCGTTGCTCGCCCAGCACGACAGCGAGCCATAGTCCAGCTCGGAGACCGGCGTGTAGCGCAGCACGCTAGTGCTGCCGTTGCTCGTTTTGGCGAAGCGTTCTGCCGCTACGTCGATGGTCTCGCCCGAGTTGTTGAACTTCCAGCGGTAAGACTTGGCGGGCGGGTCAGACTCGATTACGCACGCTATGTCAACACTCTCACTCCTGGAAGCGCCCACCACGATGATCTTGTCGCTCTTGCAGATGGGAGCGTCTGCAAGGGAAAAAATATATGATGTTTAGTTTATTCATTGAAAGATTGGTGAAGCGCTCGGCCGCCATGTCGCGCACAAGTTGTTAAACTTGCAGCTGCAGGACTTGGCGGGCGGGTCAAACTCGACCACGCACGCTATGTCAACACTCTCACTCCAGGAAGCGCCCACCACGATGATCTGGTCGCTCTCGCAGATAGGGGCGTCTGCAAAGAAACAAATGAATGATGTTCAGTTCATTCATTGCAAGATTGGCGAAGCGTTCTGCCGCCACGTCGATGGTCTCGACCGAGTTGTTGAACTTCCAGCGGTCGGGCGGGTCAGACTCTATCACGTACGCTATGTCAACACTCTCACTCCTGGAAGCGCCCACCACGATGATCTTATCGCTCTTGCAGATGGGGGCGTCTGCAAGAGAAGGAATAGATGATGTTTGAATTATTCATTAAAAGATTGGTAGAGCGCTCGGCCACCACGTCGATGGTCTCGCCCAAGTTGTTCAACTCTTAGCGGCAGGACTTGGCGGGCAAGTCGGACTCGATCACACACGCAATGTCAACGCTATCGCTCCAAGCAGTACCCACCATGATGATCTTGTCGCTCTTGTGGATAGGGGTCTCTGCAAGGAAACAAATAAATGCTATCCAGTTCATTCATTGAAAGATTGGTGAAGCGCCCGGCCACCACGTGGATGGTCTCGCCCGAGTTGTTGAACTTCCAGCGGTAGGACTTGGCGGGCGAGTCAGACTCGATCACATACGCCATGTCAACACTCTCACTCCTGGAAGCGCCCAACACGATGATCTTGTCGCTCTTGCAGATGGGGGCGTCTGCAAGGAGAGAAATAGATGATGTTTGAATTATTCATTTGAAGATTGGTAGAGCACTCGGCCGCCATGTCGATGGTCTCGCCCAAGTTGTTTAACTTCCAGCGGCAGGACTCGACGGGCGGGTCAGACTCGATCACACACTTTATGTCAACCCTCTCGCTTCGGAAAGCGCCAACCACGATGATCTCGTCGCTCTTGCATATGACAGCGTCTGCAAGGGAATGGATAAACGGTCTATCAATTCTTGAAACAAGCGAAAAGACCCAGGAGATATAATTTGCGGGACCACTTTGACGTCATCGATTGAATTTTTGGCAAAGCAACCTAATCGAGTAGCCAATAAACGAAGAACTTTGATGAGTTATCTATTGTACTGGTGAACATTTAGATTCATCGCCAATCACAGTTCGTTTCATTCATCTCCCCAATAACATTCATTTGGGTTTGATCTCCTCTTGGGCATGATAACTTCGTTAGTGAAACACTTGTCGCAGCGTTTTCGGCTAGTGGTAAAACAGATGGGATATGACATTCACTCTCTTGATTTTCCATAAAAAATTCGAATAGGAAATTGTACTTTTTTTTCATGCTGCAGTGTGAGTCAGTATCTACTGATGAATGCTTGATATAATGCGCCTCTCGTTCTCAGGGTTAGGTTTTCGAAATTTGTTCAATGCAGACATAGTAGTACAGATGTCACGAAGAAGAGAATCATCAATGATTTTTCACAAGAGATGTAATGTGGCAAGCATTCAACTGTTGATGCTGAACAATTCTTCTTCGTGGATTTGTTAAAGTACCATGTCTCCCATTTATAAACTTTTCGAGATAATTTGAAAAAAAAAAAATTAAATGAGAAGTGGAATTGATACTTATTGGCGATGAATCGAAATGTTCGCATGTTTCATCAAAAACCATTCGAAGTGCTATGTTTATTTGCAATATTATCAGGTTGGTTGTTTGTTTGCTTCTTGTTGAACTTCCAGTCGTTTAACTTGGCGCGCGGGTCACGAACGCTTTGTCAAAACTTCCGCTTCTGGAAGCGCCCACGACGATGATCTCATCGTTCTTGCATATGGGGGCAACTGCGAGGGAACAGGTTAACGCTGCTCATGTTAGTTCAGTCGGCTGATTGGTATAACGAAAAGTGCTTTCAGAGTTCGATAGAGTATATTGGAGTATATATTTTGTTTGAAATGACAATATATTGTAGGACACATTGAATCAATTAAGAGTTAGAGTATAAATAATAATATAATATATCAAAAAATGAGACACAACAAGTACATTGAACAATAAACTGTTCACATATTGTTTGAATGTTATCAAATCATCCATTAGATAGTCCTTGAGGAAATAAAAGGCGTTTCTATGGAGATAGTGTTTGATTGTGAATTTGAAGATATTCGAATTTATTTGTTTGATGTCTCTTAGTAGAGCAATAAAGATATCCTTCTATGATAATCAGTGTCCAGAGCCTGTGGTAGCCAAGCACTAAATTTCCTACCCTCCTCCTAGTCGAAGATGAATGTGTGAGCTGCACATCAAGCCTAATATAGCCCTTCTACAACATTCGCGCTACTTTATACCCGCAATAGTTTTTACACAGCATCGTTGTTAATTGTAAATGTGAGCTTGAGAGTTGGAGTAGTCACTTCAGTTCTGAATTTTGATGAAGCTGAAGTAAACATGATATGTCGTCAATATTTTCTTCATCTCTTGGAGCGTACGACAGAAATTCCTATAATAAAAGTGAAACATCGTGCGCACTTAGGAAAGATAGGAGGAGGAGCTAGTTGTTGAAATTTTTCTCTCGAGATTTTAGAGGTCATAGTTTCTTGAGAAATACTTCCATTTCCAGTAATCCATGATTTTTTATGGTTTCATCGTTTGACTTTATTATATACCAATTTGAATTGTGGGTATTGGAATAATGCATATTCCATTCTATAAGATTATAATAATCCATGAATATCATGGAGTTAGTATAAGTACATCCTATGATCGATTAGAAATACAGGTTTCTACCTATATACCAGAGCCAAGCGACATATTATGCTCCTCTTAAACATCCTTCAAAGATTTAATACTGATTAGTCTCGATGAAGACAGAAGTCAGATCAGACGAGTGACGGGACTAATAACCGGTCACTGCCCCTTGAGGAAACATATGCATCAAACTGGCATCCATACAGACGAACCCATATGCAGACTATGCAATGAGGAGGAAGGAACTGCCACCCATGTGATATTGGAGTGCGAAGCACTAGCGCGTTGGAGATACAACCTTCTGGGAGCAGTGAACTCTCAAGAAGCCTTTCCAAAGAATGATTTGGTGAAGAGGCTGCTAAACCTTATCAAGGTAGCGAACCTGTTTACCTTAGTCAACAGCATGATCAGGAATACAATAGGCTCAAAGGCTGTAGTGTTTTGGGCTTCGAACCCTGACTGATGATTTTGCCATCAATCAATCAATCAATCAGTATTGATAAATGATACAATTTTATTATTTCATAGTGTCTGATACCATCTGGTCTATATCTTCCATTTGTAACAGTTCCATGTTTCTAGAAATTATATCTCTTTTGCTTGTTATTTCTACTTCTATTCATTTCACTAGGTGATTTATCGCAATATCCCACTACAATTAGATATCTCTTTATGAAGAAATTGTCTTTGTTCCAAGAAAGAAGAAGAACATTATACGAATTTCCTTCCCAAGAGATGAAAAAAAGAAAAAGATGAATATGAACTGGTTTTGGTAACGAATATGTGCCCATTGTGAACTTGAAGAATGGAATATACTCTTCTTCTAAAATGTGATGGAATGATGAATTCGATATGAATTGAAGAAAACGCCATGAAAGGAACACATTTCTCCGCACCAAAACATGTCACTGAGAAGTAATGAGAACGCAATTCGAGGAGAAAACTGTCGTCACTGAAAAGGAAAAAAGATCTTGAGCATAACCACAAAGAGGAATTAGTTATAAACATGACTAAAAAGTCAGTTTTTGTATCGATCTGTATGAGTTCAATTGGGTACCTACCTCTGATTTAGAGTATCTGCTTGAACAACAAAGAAATTCACATCCTCCTACTATGGTGGAATGAGTCACCTCCAGTGAACTATCATGAGTTATTTGAGTTTTCATTATTTTCTACTATTTTCTTCGTTAATCCATCTGATATCACATACATAACTATGGTTAGCCTGTTTGTCAATTCGCGTGAATCGATATTCAGAAGGATTATTATGTTAAGGCCTTCGACTGTGTCAACCACTCAGTACTTCTACAAAAGCTCGGATGTTATAGTATTAGGGGTACTACCTACAACTTTCTTGATTCTCATTTGAAGGACAGACAACAATATTTATTTTGTGAAGGAACAGTTTTCGAAACCAAACTAGCAACGATAGGAGAGCCCCAAGGATCCGTTCTTTGACCCCTCCTATTCATAATATATGTCAATAACATATTCTATCACCTTCAGTCATCCGATTGCATTCTTTTTGTGCACGACATTACTTCCCTCCACTCAAGCAACAGTACTGTCACATTACAACAAAATAATCTCACAACACAAAACAAAGTAGACGAGTGGCTTAAACCGAATGGACTCGTCAACAATCCAGGAAAAACTCGAAAATTGTTCCTTTTCTTTGAATAAAGATGTCTCTCACGGCAATGTTTGACTCTTAGAGATCACCCTCGACAGTAAACTCGAATGGCACGACCATATTGATTATCTAAGTAAAAAAATATCCACTAAAATATATTTATTGAGAACTTTGATATCATCCAGCTCAACGGCCATCAGAATGTCGAATTTCTCATTTTTCCATTCACATCTGGTCTACGGAAATAATCTTGTGGGGCAACTCCTCACAGGCTGAACGGATATTTATCCTTCAAAAAAAGACCGTCAGAATTATTGATGGTGCAGGACTCAGGGGGGCATGTAGATAGATATTTTTGAAATTGAATATTATGACATTACCAGCTTGATATATATTTCATTGTCTCTTAGAAATTCACCAGAACATCCTTTTATTTATCAAGCATAATAACATACATAACTATCATACAAGAAATAAAAACTCACTTATAATTATATAAATTATAATTATTAGAACCAGAATACCATCAAATTCAAAACTTCTATCGAAC